CTAAGAGATCTAGACATAGAAAGGAGAGATTATTTTGAGAAGTATGAGGACATATTTTGTGAGGTTGTGCTGAGCCCATTAAAAAGGATGTGGAGAGAAGAACATAATTCAGGATTAGGAACACATGGGTCAGGGTTACATGGAGACAAAAAATTTAAGTACCAAATGGAAAATAATACTGAAATACATGGGATGTGCATTAGTTACAAGAGAGTTATTGGGAAAGACAAGGACTAGACAATATCACCATAAATTTCTAAGTTTTGCCAGAAAACACAGTTATTTCAGGTGCCATTCTACTGGAGAGAATGCAGTCCATAGTATTTTGGAATGTTTTTATTTTTCATAGAAAATGTGACTCCGAGTATCATGCTATTTTCCAATTGAGATTTACATTCACAGGTGAGAGACTTGGAAACTGATATGAATGAAAGTGAAATCACAAAGCCCGATCAAATCCTCTCTTCCATTTCCTTTAGAAAAGTAAAAAGCAACGCTATACAATAGTTTCTGTCTGGTAAGGATAAAACAGGTTTAAGATGTAAGCTACTGAGTGGCTTTTGGAAAACCACATTGCTTAGAAAAATAGGGAGGGTTTCCAAGATTGTAGGAGGTTATACTGGCTTTGAAATACGGTCATAGTTTCCACAGTTAGTAACTCAGGGTCTCTATTACCTCTTCTTAGGTGATCTGATAATTACTTAGAAAGTTAGAAAAAAGTAACACTCATCGAGAATTTGGCTTGGGGTTTTCATCTTTTGGAGTACAGAGAAAGAAACAAGCTCCGTGAGAAGACACGCCAGGTTTCAGAGACTGGTTCCAGCCAGGCACAAAGGCAAGCCTCTCTCTCTGGGACAGAGCAGAGTAACTGAAATATAGGGCAAGTGTGGTGCTTTTGAGCATATTTTGGAACTTTCATTTTCTGCATTAATCTACATAAGGAATTGATTTGAAAAGCAGCACTAGGGAACGTGGCTGCGTTTGATCTTAAAGGGGGCCAAATTTGGGGCCAATTTACACTCCTGGCGATCTACTGCTTTAAAAGTTGGCAGTAACTCAAGTTGAGAAATAAAAAGTGGGCCTCGAGGCAAATTTAATTGAAGGCAAGGTCTGATGCATTTCAGAGGATTCTGAAGGCAACATCAAAAGACAGTTTTAAAAGGCGTTGAGAGGCTGGATTGCCCAGGTGGCCAAATAGGTATAGTCACAAGCAACAAGCAGATCTCCCGCGAGGGCAGGCGGCGCCTTCCCATCCGCCCATGGCCCTCTCAATTTGCCCACGATTGTGAGGCACGGTCCTTCTGCATGTCTAGCAGTAACAAAACGCAATACACCTTTAGCCACTTATATGTATCTTTGTTTCTTAGGTCCTCTAAGGCACTTGTTGGTGGAGGACCAAGAAATCATGCTATTTTTCTTTCTTCCAATGATGAATATTGTCTTCACTAATACCAAATTGATACCCCAAGCTACGGTTCTATTCTTTTCTTGGATATGTCATAGCTTTGCATGTCAACACTAAACCTAACGCAATCTTTGAAAACATTTTATTTTATTTTTTTTTAAAGATTTTATTCATTTATTTGACAGAAGGAAACATCAAGAGAGGGAACACGAGCAGGGGGAGTAGCAGAGGGAGAAGCAGGCTTCCCGCCGAGCAGGGAGCCTGATGGGGGGCTTGATCCCAGGACCCTGGGATCATGACCTGAGCCGAAGGCAGACACTTAACGACTGAGCCACTCAGGCGCCCCTCTTTGAAGACATTTTGAACAGCGACGAAACTCAATTCCCATTTTTTTCAACACAGTAAACAACTGGATACAAGAAGGTATGGCCAAGTTTACGTGGGCCAAGTTTGCAGACAACTTTTTATGAGTTATGACCACTGCTTGCCCGACAGGGACTATAAAATGATCCTGATTAGAATATGCATACCAGATGGAGATGTTAAAATTTTTAAAAATAACTGTGTATTAGACTATGAAATATAGTAGGTATGGATTTAGGGAGAAAGAGTTCATGTTAACAACAGTGAATTTTGTGCATGAATCTCTCCAGGATCTTCTGCATGAATCTCTTAGGATTACAGAGGAACATACTGCCACAGGTTGCCTCCTTGGAGACTTGACTACCAAGAAATAATTGCACTGATTCTGAAACATCTGTCAGCGCAAACAATAGATGTGCATAGTCTATTTCTTGACTAATCTTGTTGCAAACAAAAATATTAAAAACAAATAAGAAAAGCTGTTCATTATAATAATTTGATAATATGACATGTTCCCCCCCAAATAAGTGATTAAACATAAGGCACGAGAGCTAAATAAATCATTCTTAACATGTTTGAACAGCATTTTTATATTTTCCATAATTCAAAATCTTAAACGTCTTTCAATTCCTTGTGTTACTCAATTAAGTCAGCAAATTAACTTGATACTGGAGACTAACTGAAATCAAATCTACCCAAAAAGGTCATGTAGTAAAGTCAGGATCAGGTCATTTCCTCAAGAAGTCCCATAGTTCTTTATCGCCCTTTGTTGGAGGAGACTGTGTCATCACCACACTAATTACTGGACCAAACAGACAGCAGGCATCAAGGGGAGAGATGGCTCTGAGGGAAACTGTGAAAAGTAGGTCTTTCTACAATGTACCCCCTGAGGGATAAATCACTTTTTATTATAAAAGATTAAACTTTAAATCCATAAATACTGTTGTGCTCCGCTCAACCGTTCATAGTATCACACACCACATACTTTACAGCTCCCAAATGTACACCCAATATGGCTCAAGTGCAGTGACTATAATCTTAACCCCACTGATATTTTTGTGAGAGGTGGGCAATAATCACTCAGCAGGAGGGAATCACCACTTTTGAAATAAAATCCGGTTTTCAGAATGTTGGTTTTAATTTGTTATACTATAAAAGCAAACGAAAACAAATGTAGGTCAACTTGATAGATGATTCTGTTCTGTTCTGTTTCTCAGTACCTTTTTCTGTAAAAGGGCTCTAAGACTTCTCTCATTGTGATAACTGGATGTATGAAATGCACATCCCTTTAAAAATAATTTAAAGTGATTTAGCATTCTATTCATCAATTAAAAATGGCAAATTTTCTAAGGCATAAATCGTTACTTGATAATATTCCATAAAAGTACTAATCATTAGGAGCGCTCATTCCTCACATTCTTCCATTTTACATGAACAACTAATATAAAAATGTGAGCATTATCAGTCAAGTTAAAAATGTAATGGCTCCCAAAAAAGTGAAGAATCTACAATAACAGCAACCTCACTAGCTCCATCTAAAACAAAGATATGTCTTTGAGTAATTCATAATTTCCCAGTTACCTCATTTGGAAAATAAAGGTTTTATATATTCTGTGATTTTGAAAGTTAGTCCCAGTGTAAACATTCTGCGATTCTAAAAATTCTAGGAGGTACAATAATTTGCTAGTGAGATATGGTCTGTTTCAATACAAATAGGCAGTTGTTATTTGGTCATCTTCCCGTAAATTATGAAATTAAATCTCACACAAAAATTAGACACTATATATACAGTAGTCTTGTTTCAATATTCATCATCACGCATCAAATATAGACTATTGCAATCTTCAGTATAAAATCACTCATGCTGTCACTTGAAAAGCCACCAGGACTTGAAATGCCTCTTATATCTTGCCAACCTGATTTGGTCAGAGATATAGAGCTGCATTTTATTGAGAAGGAGATACTGAGTCTGTCACTGGCTTTCTCATATCCAGAGAATGGACAAGTGTTATTCTGAGAAACAATATCAAGTTATATAATATTTAAATATACGATTTAGAGAGAGAATCTTGTACTTCATAATGGATTAATCAAATTCCTTTAAAAAAAGACATTTTTCTTCATACCCACATTTCCACCACATTTCATTACTAAGTAAACATTTTTATGTACATTTCTTTGCCTAATTTGATATTCATAAAAACATGATTATGGAATAAGTCTGAAAAAATTTAATTGTAAAATATATATCGATTGAATGCACTTTTCTTGCAATAGAGTAAATCTAGCTAAAAAAACCCCACAAAAAAACAAAACACTTGCATGCCCAAAAACCTCATCTGAAAGTTAAATTTTCTGGTTTGGTGGGCTGCAACAATTTATTCCTGTTTGAAATAATTATAAACACAACAGTCCACTTAATAATATTTACTAAAATTTATCATATTAGAAGACAATTGGTAAAAACTACAGCATTTATTTCTGTAATCTTTATTATTAGGATAATTACATAGTCCTTGTTTAGATTTACTCTTCAGAAAGTAAATTACCAGCTTGAGTCTGAGTTTCCATTGTTAGCATACTTAATTTATTTAAAAAAAGGAAGTCCTTTTACTCACTGGAATTTCTGAATATAAGTGATGAGACCATGCCATTGAATGCTGTGTCATGATTCTGGTGATACAAATCTCATATGATAAGAAAATGCCTAGTGAAAAAGTACTCTCAAGAGAACAGTGTGGTAATTACTTTTATAAATGAACCCTGACTACAGGAGACTAGAGGTTATAGTCTAAGGGTCTAATAAAGACTAGAAGACTTTCCTGGTTATAATAATTTCCTGTGGACTGGCTAATGATGTATATTTAGTATCATTAATTCTACTCCTTCTTATAATAGGACTATACATTATAACATGAAACAAAACATAATCAAGTGAGTATGTATATTTGGACAAATGTTGAACCATTTACATGTTAAATAAATAATTAAAATATCTAAATATGCTTCCCATATTCACTGAATAAAAGTGCTATGGTCTTTGGTTGAAAATTGTTCTCAATTGTTGTACTTTCAAAGACTTCTCCTTCCTCTAGATCAGTATCATATATATGTGTATATAATATAATGAAGTTTTAAATATTTCATGAAAGACAATGAATAAACATTCATCAAGTCTTATTTTTATCATTTTTTTCTTAATTCTATGAAAACAGAGCATATATTGCAGTACCTTTGGATATTGCTTGACAGGAATCAATACCCTTTCTGAGAGCTTTATGTTTTTGTTGCTGATGACATCAAGATATTTCTTTTCTTCATCTTCCTTTTTTCCATCAGAACCTTGAAATTTTTCAATTTCTGAAAAAAAAATTGCAAGAAAAAGCAGTAAGCAAAATGAGAAGTCATAAATATGATTGTTCTTATTACTCGCCTTCTTAAAAAAGATTTTGAAAACCCTTGACAGAATTGAAACACCTGTTAACAGCTATGTGCATGCTGCTACCACAGGTTAAGGTGACCTCTGTCAGGACATCTGGGTGACTCAGTCGGTTAAGCATCAACCTTTGGCTCAGGTCATGATCCCAGGGTCCTGGGATCAAGCCCCGCATCAAGCTCCCTGCTCAGCGGGACTTCTCTCTCTCCCTCTGCTGCTCCCCCTGCTTATGCTCTCTCACTTGCTCTCTCTCTCTCTCTCTCTGACAGATAAATAAATAAAATCTTAAAAAAAAAGATGACCTCTGTCAATTAAAACTAAAAAGTTACCATTGAAGATGTGACTGTCTTCCATGAAACAAATGATGAACTTAATTTTTAGCATCTTCAAACAAAACACAAGGAAGAATATGCCCTTTAGCAATTTGAAATATCTAAATGAACATAACTTTCCCAGGGACAATAAATAGAACAAAATATATTTTAAGGTTATGTTTCATTTTTACTCAGAATTATTCTTACAAAAATAATGGAAAATAATAATCATCTATTTTCAAATAGGATAGTAGAGATAAATAGCATGTTATTTTATATTCTAACAAAACTTAAAGGTAATTAAAAAGGAGGTCACAGCAAAGTCTTTAAAAGATTATATCTGTAAATCTTTTCATATTCATCATTATGAAACTATCTGTCCATGTTTAAAAAGAATCACTACTTTTGCCTTACGAGACTATTCCCAAAATGGATATTTTTGAGCAAATGTACAATATTTATCTATTCTTTCTTTTTAAAATTAGTTTAAAAAGATTTTTAAACCTCTACTGGGGGTACCACAGATAAAACATAAGACAAGAAAATGTCTCTGCTTTTATGGAATCTATATTCTGATGGGAAAAATAAATAATTAGAAAATGAACATATATGTACATGCATATTTATGCGTGGAGGTAAAGAATAAATCAAGCTATTAAGACATGTTTTTCAGTTTTGTTAGAGACAGAACAAGAACATTTTGTTTCTGTAATTTTGGAGTAAAGGAAAGGTGGTGATATCCATTAAGTATGGAAATTCTCAATTCATACGAATTTATATTGCATTTTGAAACAATTATTTTTTAAAGATCTGACTACTTCTGGAGGTAAAAGGAATACTGTATTGCATCTAACAGCTTTGTTCTTTGTTGTTTTATTTGTAATTAGCATCTTTTCCAAAATGATTTCACATACCTTATATAAAATCACTGTAACATTCAGATGGAAATCTTTTAGCATATTGTTTATTTGGCTCACGTGGAATTGTCAAAAAAAAACTTTTTGAAGTAACATTATATTGCCTACTCAGATAATGGAATGAATGCTATACTGCATAGTTTGCACAAGTCATTTACAATCACTTTTTTTTCACAAGTCATTTACAATCACTGTAATTTCCCTAACAACGATTATCTTAAACAGTGCTGGTTGAAAAGAAGCTATATGTAATATGTCTATAAATTCTACTTAGAATGATGGCATCAGATTCTTACTTTTCCACTCCAGATTATTAACAAGCCACTTTAACTGACTATCGTTTTCAACCAAGAAGCATTCGCTATCCAGGCTTTTCAATCCCTTATATAATTATTAGATACAGAACTCTGACAACTGCAAAGAAAGAATATCCATTCTATCTTCTGATACTGACAGTGAACTTATGATCACTGCCCTCTGGGTACATGCGCCTATCTAATACAATATTTCCTAGTTTGCTGAGGCAATTGTAATGTGGGACAACCGACTCAATCCCCAATCTATTAAATGTACGGTTTCCCCCTTGTCACTCTGTCATAAAATAAATCGAACTCGTCTGACATTATTTGTTCTCTACAAAACTACTACTACCCTTGGCATTTTTAGATGTTTGCAATTTGATCAATCAATGATTAATTCCAATAAATTTTCCATGAAGAAATGAAGCTGAATAAAAGCATTTCCACTGCTTTTTCTGCTCATTTCTATACTTTCTTTTAAAAAATATTGATATATCTTTTGCCCTTCTGATTCTTTCGGGGAGTTATCTTGTCTTTCTTGACATATCTACATTACTAATAGCTCAGTAACTGCATTTGTCAACTGCATAGTATAAGAATGGTATAAGCCGGGGCGCCTGGGTGGCTCAGATGATTGAGCGTCTGCCTTTGGCTCAGGTCATGATCCCAGGGTCCTGGGATCGAGTCCTGCATCGGGCTCCCTGCTCAGTGCAGAGCCTGCTTCTCCCTCTCCCTCTGCCATTTCCTCTGCTTGTGCTCTCTGCCTCTATCTCTCTGTCAAATAAATAAATAAAATCTAAAAAAAAAAAAAAAAGAATGGTATAAGCCAAATTTGCCTGATTTTAAAACCAGAGAAAACATTGTATACAACATATTTCCTTTCTAATTTTAGTTTAAAATACTTCTTTATTTCATAATTAATGCATGTTCATTGTGGAATGTTTAGACAATACAGGTACCCATAAAAATTTAAAGGCACCCATTGTCATCTAGCAATAACTAAACAGTTTTGCGTAGAGGAGTTGAACAATGTTTTATACTTGTTTATATGGTCTCTCTTTAAATTTAGCTTCCATATTATTGGGAAAACACATTCTATATTAAGGCAGGCTTATGTTAAATCCCAGTGGTTACAAGAGAATACACCCATGACCAAAAGTTAATTCTGTTGTAATCTCATAAATTTAGTACTGTGGAGAGAGCCACAAAAAATAAGACAAGGAATGCTAAAAAAAATTCTTGAATGAAAATGGCTATTAACAGATAAAACGTGAAAGGAGAACAGAAAATACTAAATTTTTTGATCTTGAAAACTGAAATTCTAGACCCATTTAACACTCATTTTCCATCCCTTTCCCACAGGCCTTGGCAACCAGCTTTTCACTATCTGTTTCTATGCTTGACCGCTTTAGATACTTCACATGAGTAGAATAGCACAGTATTTGCTCTTTTATGACTGGCTTATTTCACTTAGCATAATGTCCTCAAGGCTTAGCCATGTTGTAGCATGTTTCAGGATTTCCTCCTTTTTAAAGTCTTTAAACATTCCATGGTAGATATACACTACATTTTCTTTATCCATTCATCCATCAGTGGACATCTGAGCTGCTTCCTTCTCTTGGCTATTGTGAATAATGCTTCGATGAACATGGGTGTGGAAGTATCTCTTTGAGATCTTTCTTTGAATTATTTTGGTTATATACCCAGAAGTGGGGTTGTTGGATCATATGGCAATTCCATTTTAATATTTTGAGAAACCTCCATATTATTTTCCATAGTGACTGCATTTTATATTACCAACAAGAGTGCCCAAGAGTTCCAATTTCTCTGCATCCTTGACAACACTTGGTATTTTCTGTTCTTTTTATAGCAGCCACACTAATGGGTGTGAGGTGATATCTCACGGTGGTTTTTATTTTAATTTCTCCTGAGCATCATTTCATATGCTTGTTGACCATCTGTATTTCTTTTATGCGGTATTATCTATTGAAGTTCTCTCCCCATTTTTAATTGGGTTATGTGTTTTATTGTTGTTGAGTTGTAGAATTTCACTATATATTTTGCACAATGATTAGATATATGATTTGTGAATATTTTCTCCTATTTCATAGGTTGCCTTTAAACTCTGCTGATTGTTTCTTTCGATACGCAGAAGTTTCTCAGTTTGATATAATCCCATTTATTTTTACTTTCGTTGCCTGTGCCTTTGTGCCATATCCAAGAAATCATTGACAAATCTAATGTCCTGAAGCTTTTCTCTTATGTTTCCTTCCAGACGTTTTATAGTTTTAGGTTTTACTTTTAGGTCTATAATCCATTTTGAGTTAGGTTATATGTATGGTGTAAGACAAGACTCCAACTTCATTCTTTTGCAGGTGGAGATCCAGTTTTCCCAACACATTTTTGAAGAGACTGTCCTTTCCCCTTTGTATTTTTGGCACCCTTGTTGAAGAACATTTGACCATATACACAAGGGTAATTTCTGGGCCCTGTATTTTGTGTCAGTGGTCTATATTTCTGTCTTTATGCCAGTATCACACTGTCATCATTACTGTTGCACTGTATTATATATATATATTTGTTTTGTTTTGTTTTGGGGGGTGTTTTTTAAGTTTTTATTTAAATTCCAGTTAGTTAACATACATTGCAATAATGTCCTCAAGGTTTAGCCATGTTGTAGCATGTCAGGTGTCAATACAGTGATTCAATACTTCCATACAATACCCAGTGCTCATCAGAAGCACACTCCTTAATCCCCAACACCTATTTAACCCATGCTCCAATCCACATCCCCTCTGGTAACCATCAGTTTGTTCTCTATAGTTAAGATTGTTTCTTGGTTTGCCTCTCTCTTTTTTTATCTCTTACACTGTTGGTGAGGATGTAAACTGGTGCACCCACTCTGGAAAAACAGTATGGAGGTTCCTCAAAAAGTTAAAAATAAAAGTACCCTACAATTCAGCAATTGCACTACTAGGTATTTACCCAAAGAATACAAAAATACTAATTCGAAGGGATACATGCACACTGATATTTATAGCAGCATTATCTACAATAGCCAAATTATGAAAACAGCCCAAATGTCCTTCGGCTGATGAATGGAAAAAGATGTGGTATATATACAATGTATTATATATAATTTTTTATAATGTCTTATATTTTGAAAACAGGATGTGTGAAGCTTCCAACTTTGTCTTTCTCTTTCAAAATTATTTTGGCTATTTGGAGTCTCTTGAGATTCCATATAAGTTTTGGAATTTTTTTTCTATTTCTGCAAAAAAAAAGTCTTTAGGATATAATAGGCATTGCACTGAATCTGTAGATTTCTTAGGGTATTATGGACATCTTATCAGTATTGTCTTCCAATTCACAAACACAAGATTCCTTCTTCTTA